ATGTTATGCTTACGAGGCGATGTGTGAACAGGCTTCATATTCTAGGAAGATATATTATTATTATTATTATTTGTGTTCAATTTATTCTAAGATACCACTGTCTGTTGCTGTCCAGGCAAACCTAATCAGTATTCTCTAACCGATTCAATCTAAAACAATGCTCTACCAGTTAGCCTTACACAAAATCTAGGTACTAATGTAATTAAAATTTATTGTAGTTTAATTATCAAGTTCATGCAAACATTGTTACTTTTTATTTCACTCAAATTGCATTTTGTTTTCTTTCAAAAATTAGTAATGTGGCCGTCTTTTAATGATTAAATTATAAATTCATTTTAATTAAATTTAGAATTTGAAAGAAAAAATATTTAACGCAAGTTTTAAGCAAATGAAATATTTAATTAGTTGTACAATGCGCAAAATAAAAAACGGACCACCCTAAATAACTTTTGATCTAATGATTGGATCCTCACGTTCTAAGACTCAATGGTTTGATGCTGTGACCTCAAATATGTCAATTATTTAGTGCAGACGATATTTTAAGTTATGAAATTAGACACAAAAAGCATACTTTCGCTGAATAAACATACCTTTTTTTCGACGAATTCGGATTTGTGACCCTAAAATATGAAAGATAGCCGCAATCTGGAAAATATGGTCCCCCTAGTTTGCTCAGGAGTGACATCCAAAGTTTGTACCCTTTAATGTTAATTTTATTTTATGCATATTTCGCCATATCTCGAGAACTTTTTAAGCGAATAGAAAACTTTTTACACACAACTATAAAGTTCGTTTATCCAAAGGTGATAACATTAAAAATATAACTTTTGGTAAATATTTATTATTTTTACTATTTTATTCAAAATAAGAGTCGAAACAATTTATAACTGTAAAGTATGAAATTTTTTACATAATTTTAAAGAATGTAATTTTAAATAGCAAAGTACAGAATTTGAATGAAATCGGTCAAACAGATACTCAGAAATCAAATTTTAACTATGTCGTATTTTTAAAATTCAATTTCTCAAGGCTTCTTCTTTTGGCAGAGCCCCAACTTCATAGACAAAGTAAATAAAGACAATTACGAACGTATTTTCTAATAAAAAACTAAATTTTCTAAATACTTAATGAGAGCAATGAGATATGATCTTAAGTTTTATGTTTGACTATTAAATTCGAAGTCTTAGAGCTGTATCTACCCTGTAAAAAATGGATACTCAAATATCACGAATCTTTCTTTGTTTCTGACGAAACTGTTTCCTGGTACATGCTCCAAGCGATAATTTCATCGAAGTGGCAAAATGACTATCTTCACTTCTTTGAGACAACGTATTTCGTCAAATTTAAAGACATACTTCCTCATTAAATTTTTTTCCAAAGTAAAAACACCGTAGTGCTGAATATTTCTAACTTTTATAATAATCACTTTATCGTGAACACCATATAGATGAACCAATGTCACCCAACAACACCACAATAAAGGCAGATATAACAAAGAGATAAATTACATCCATGCCCGATGCGGGGTTTGAAACGAGGATCTTTCTGGTACGAGGTCGAATCCTTGACCATGGTTCCACATATCTGGTCGATCGTCTAGTCTTTATTCTAGTTTCGATTTTTTTTTTTTGTCGTATGCCTGTTTTAGGCAGAGGGGGTGCGATTGTTCCTGTTTTTCAGTGGCGCCATCTATGGCCAGGAATTCGACTTCTGCCACGCCATTCACACAATCACAACCCGTTTATAGGGCGAGTCACATTCACACACAAAGGAGAAAGGACATAGAACACAGAGAGAGAGAAAGAAACATCCATGCCTTGCCCGGGATTCGAACCCAGGACCTTTCTGATGCAGGGGCAGTTCCCTGCCCCCTACACAGGCCGGTCGGCTCTAATTTCTATGATCTAGTTAATAATCACCCATACTACACTATGACGAGATTTTGAGTTGAGGAAGCATTTTCGTCACACAAAGACCTTGCGTTTCGTCACAAATCACGTGATTTCGTGACAAAATGATTCTCAAAATTAAGGAAATACAGCCTAAAGATTGCTGAATTGTCAAGAATGAGAGTTTTATTTCAGAGAGATATGGTAGTCTAGTTATAAATTTGTTTTTGGTGTAATATATGCTTGTAGTCAAAATTGATTAAAACAAGCAGAAATATTGTTGTCTTTGAAATAAAGACTGAAAAGAACTGCTGTAAAGGTTGAAAATTGGTATCAGAGAAGCACATTTCTTTATTAAGAAATTTGGTAATTTTATTTTAATTTGAAAAGTGCGATAGAAAATAATAATGAAAGTTTTAAAAATGCATAATATTTTTTCTAATTTATGAAATTTTTTATTATCAGAAAAATTACATTTATTGAAAAAGTTATTCATTTATTTTTCAATAGAATTTTACTTTAAATAATTTCAAATTGCAGTCAAATTTAGAAATCAATAATGGATTGTTGACTGGGTCTAACAATAATTAAAGGTTTCAAATGTTGCAAAACAAATGTCCTAATGTTGTCAAAACAAATGTCCTAACTTCCAGAACGCCATTTGGGAACCTCTATTCTAACCTACATTTACTATTCTAACCTACAAGTGTGAATTCCATTTTCTGCCACCATTTAAACCTCGGGTCTCAGATCTATATGTCAAAATATGCTTACCAGTTGGCCCATTTTTATCCAATGTAGAATTTCTTTCGATAGCAGTAGAAATTTCTACTTATTTCAGTTAACTGTGACTACCTGGCAAACTGACGCGTCTTATATAGGTAGAAAATATTAATTCAGTCATTTTAAACTATAAATTCTCAAACTTTTGACAGCGTCAAAAATTTATAATTGTTCCTATCCAACTACAAGGTATTTTATATGAATTTTTAAAAACGAGGATTAAAATATTGAATTTAAGCATTGTTTTACAGAAGAACCTACTTTCTAGAAAACCTTGACGCTTCTTGTAACTTCAAATTTTAAGCGTCTGGGACAAATTATACAAAGGATATCATTTTTGTTTCAAAATATTCTTTTTCAATGGATGTTGAATAATTTGCAATTTTCGCTTATCTATGCACTCAAATCTTTTTAAGAAATGCTTGCATATTTTTTTGAAAACAGTTGAATTTCTTTTTAAAAAAATTAAGATTTATTCATTTTTTAACTTTATAAAAATCGTTGAAGTGACAGTTATGGAAATAAATGCATTGTACTGCATTATTAATGGGTAAAAATAGCTCTTGAACGCGCAAGTTGTCATCGCCTTAGAAAAAGAAAATATGTTTATAACGTTTCTGATTTAAAATATTTCCTTTTCATTCAAAATAATGTGAATGACCATTTTAATTCAAGAAGAGATCTTACATTTGATTTTAAAAATAAAATTTATAGTGTCATTATTGTATAAAAAATAAAAGGCATGTGCCGTCACTGGCGATAAATAATTTAAATGTTGTGAAAGAAAGGTTTTTAGAACTCCTGTACTCTCTGAATTATTCTATAAAAAATATTTTACAGATCTAATATGAAATCGATTGGTGACTAGCAAACTTTTCTTCATGGAAAGTTTTCCATTTTTACGCAAACGCAGATTTTTATGGCTTGTTGGTTAAATAATCTTAACAAACTTGTAAGGAAAGGCTCTTAGAAAGGGTAATTATAACTTTTATCATTACTTAATTAAATGTTTTTTTTATTATTAACACAATGTAAAATACATTTTTCTTATGTTGTTCTTTAGTTTGCATTGAATAGTATTTTAGTTTGAAGAAGAAGCCATTTACCTACTTAATTTGGTGCTTCACACCATTTGGTGCGTAAGGCATCGGCACTACTTCTCCATGCTCTACAGGCCACGAATTTGTAATTCAGCTTCTTCTGTTTGGCATTTTCTTTAAACAATATATTTTTTGTGTCCAAGAAGCAATTTTTTCATAATAGAAACAGCGTGCATTGTATTTCCGACCCACTACAGTCAAAAGGAAAAAGAAAGCGAGTCGCTAAGGACCGTTGAAAATTTAACCCCCGAGCTTTCCATCTTTTTCCGCCAGATATTCCATCTTCTTTCTAAGTTAATCATTGTTACTGTTATTTCTTCATGACGTTCATATTGTGAAACTCAATGAATCAGTTTATTTAATAGCATAAATTTCGTCATCAGAAATAAATAAGCATTTATGTAAAAACAGGAATCATTAGACAAATCGGGAAAACTTTTCTTCTAAGATAAATTTTCATATATTTTCGTGTCTTCTTTAATGCTTTCTCTTATGTTTTTATTTTCTTTAATTTTTTTGCTTCCTTTATTTTAATATTTCACCAATTTTCCGTTTACATGTTAAGCAGATTTCGACTTATTCTACTTAATGTAGATTTCTGTACAGTTCACAGTATTTTAGAAGGAATTTCGCTTTATATAATTTGGCATTTTAAACAGAGTTTACCATATTTATTTACTTATAATTTTAAGAAATTTCTATCAATTTAGAATTATCTGGTACAACTGATAATTGGTATAATAAAAGTTTTCATTTCAATATTTCCAAATTATATCCAATAAGCGAGCAAGCTGAGATCGTATTGCGCATTAATCCGACGAAAATGCGAAAGCAGTTCCGAGCTAGAGCACCATTTCTTTTTTTTTTTTCTTTTTTTAACATTTGTATTGGGCTTTCCATCTTCCATCTTTTTCAAAATGTTCATACTACTTAAACACTGGCCTTGTAATTGAAAATGTAGCAATGTTGTTTATTAAACATTGAAATGTAGATAAAAGAACGCAGTTGGGATTATAATATTAAATTAAAGATTCAAATTAACTAGAAGAGGTTTATCAAGAAATTAAGTCCATTAAAAACTTAAAAATTTAATTGAAGAAAGTTTCATACTTTAATGAATAATAATTTTCACACCAGTCCCGCTGAATCGATACATTCATCTCTGCTTTTTAAACTTATGAGCTTTAAAATTTAATATCTCAATTTTGATAGTATTAAATTACAATGGTTATGATAATCAGGTGGGGAACTAAAGAGCTCTTTAATCTGTAAGAGTTAATCAGAGTAATGAATGTAATGTTCACATCATTTTAAAGAATGCAAGTTTGAGGGGCAAAATACAGAATTTTTGAAAAATCGATCGAATAGTTCCTGAGAAGTCGAATTTCGAAAACACAACTTTTTGTTGAAATTCGATATCTTAGATATTATTCGACTGATTTTGCTCAGAATTTGTATTTTGCCATGCAAAATTACACTCTTTCAAATGATGTAAACATTTGTATAACTTTCAATTCAAAATATTTCCAACTGTTATAAAATAAAATAATAAATAATAATAAATATTTACCAAAAGTTATTTTTTGCATGGTTATTATCTTTGGATGAACGAATTTCATCATTGTATACGAAAAAAATTTTAATTCGCTTAAAAGGCTCTCTAGATATGGGGGAAAACGCAAAAAGTGAAATTAATATTAAAAGATCGAAACTTTGGAGATCTCTTACGGCTACCCCAATATTTAGGGGGTGGCCGTAATCCGAATCTGTTGAAAAATTGGTATTTTATTCATAGAAAGTACATTTTTGTCTAATGTCATATCTTAAAATATCGTCTGCATTAATAAATTAGCATGTTTAGGTAGTCCCTTCGAACCATTAAAGTTGTGTCCTAAAACAAGAAGATCCGATCATTAGATCAAAAGTTATTCAGGTTGGTCATTTTATTTTCTTGCTCATTGTGCACTAATATTGAAATAAAAGGAAAGTTAAAAAATAGGATCTCATATTAGCTCATTTTGGGATATCGAATAAAAATTTACTGATGTATTTGTTTAAAGAGCGATTAAAAAATTTTAAATATGAATATAAATTTATGAAAGAAAGAAAATTAAAAAGCTAGGAAATATGTATGCCGAAAAATACATGACAGGCTTAAAAACACCATCTAGATAAATTAAATGACAGAATCAAAAAATTTGTAGCAATTGTGAGCAAATATTGTGAAGGCAAGGAACTTTGTATTCCAAATAAGGCCCCAAAACGAAACCTTGAAAGGGCCAGGAGTCTTACAAAGACGCTATTTTCAGCAAAAGTATGAAAATTCATTTCAAAACGTTTAAGAAAATCGGAATTTCTAGCGAGAAAGTTTTGCTGAAAAATCATTTTAATTTTTGTTTAAGATTTGTAATTTGTTTGTAATTGATTTGTAATTGTTTAAGATTAATTTTGTTTATCGAAAATGACAAATACCAGTCACCCAAAGTGTAAAGGAGAAACATCAGACTAACTAGAACACACTATAAAGCCTACAAAACTAAATTATGCTGCTTGTATATACTTGTATATACGTTTTACTTGAAAATACAAATTCGTGAAATTTCTAAACCACCCTTGAAGCGTAAAAATTTATTCACATTTTAACTCAAAACTTTTAATTTTCTCATAAGTTAATAACACTATTTTAAAATATGGATTTTACAGAAAATATTGAAGATAGGCGCTTCAATGCAATTTCGTGAAATCTCGTTCTGAATTATTCCCTATAATGTAAGTATTGGCTCTCTTTTTCCTTTAAAACTTGAGAACTCTGCTATTTTCAGGCCAATTTATTGTGCAACTCTACAGTGAATGGCACAATTTTAAAATATGGCCCTTATAGTAATGTCTGAAAACTGTAAGTTCCGTTATGAACTTTTTTAAAACTTCTTTATAAATTGTCCTCTTTGTTCGCACTTGTGTGCTATAAGTAAATAAGATACTGCTATAAGTAGTACAGTTATAAGTAGATAAGTAGAGCATATTATTCCTAAAAAAAGTGTTATCTATTCATCTTTTGTCATATAGCCTATAGGAAAAACGCAAGTTAATAGAAATTTTGGTTCGCTCTGTTTAAGAGTAAGAAATATTTTTAGCCAACATGCATAATTAGTTTCAAGTTTCGTCAACAGAGGGTACTGCTAACTAAATCCTACATTACAATGTTTTCAAAATTAATACCATCTGAGCAATTACGTTTCGCTGTCTGGTGACAAAAGTAAACGATGCATTACAGTATTTTCTGTTGAAATGGTTTGACATGCGATAGGAAATATTGTTTTATAGCTTAAGCAGTGAAATTGTTCACAAACATTGTGACTAACTGTTAAACATAATGAGAAGAAATAATTGTTCTTCTAAACAGAAAGCATCGAACTGAACAATTTTTTTTAAATTTTATATCAATTTTTTCAACGAATTTTTAAATCATCAGCCGTTATTAGAACAACCAGTATCTACCTCTTAATTGTATAAGGAATATTTTTAGGAAGTGAATAATTGCATGACTTATCAAATAAAAGAGACAAATGGAAACAATTGAAAATATCTTTTTGTGATATTATGTTTATTTTTTTAATAAACAATAATCATATGCAGTAAACAAAACATTCACATTTGACATTCATCAAAGCATAATATAAACACTCATACAGCAGTTTTAAATGCATAGTACCGCGAAAACAAAAAGATATCAATGGAGCGGGTGAATAACAAATGATAAATGGCAGTAGAATAAGTAAAATGTACTTTTATTTGTAACAGTTCTATTAGTTAATATAAAAAATATAGTTTGTGGACTTTTCTGAACGAAATTTTTCTTATTTAATGAACAATAATACTCTGTTTTTTCATAGAAAAAACTCTTTCATGTTCATTACATTGTTATTTTAAGTTACAGGTAAAATGGCAGTGCTGAACGTTTTCTATAAAAGTTTAAATTGTTTTATAAAATATAGAAAAGAAAAAATTACTAAACCAACTCATTTTACTATGCTGAAATTAGTTTAGAAAATTTTTCGAACACATTATAAAAATTAGAGTTTAATCTTGGTTTTTGCAACAACAAATGTATTAAATTTGTATGAACACATTAACCAAACTTTTTATAATGTGAGAATATTCATTTTATCTTGAAATAAAGAATAAACATTTTATTCCCACAACACGATCATAACTTCAATTTTTATAATTTAATATTTAAGAATTTTTAATTCAGTTAACAAACTTGATGTAAAAAAAACATTTAAAGCAATTTTTTAATGTTTTCAAAGTAGCTATAAAAAATACTAGGCATTGATTTTCACGTAAGTTATTACCGTTTCACATTTATGAATTTATTTACATAACCTAAATTTAAACTTGACTTTAATTTTAAAATTAAAAAAATATATTTCATAAAAACTCGAAAAAAAACCCGAAATCAATTTGTTTTCGTTTCTTTTAATGCAATATTCTAAAAGCAGTTTAAGTCCAATTTATAAAAATCTGTAATCAAAGCACTGGTCCTAACGTGCTTTTACTTCTTATAGTACCCCAAATTGCCACTAGGGTTCCAGTATGTGTAGCTATTTGATGGAACATATGAAACAGGAGATTGTACAACTCTTGTGACCGCGCTGGATAGGAGCCTTGTGACTGGGGAATAACTTTTCACAACTGTAGGTCCATTCATCGGTCCACTAACTACAGGTGCATTATATCCTACAGGTGCATTATATCCTACGGGTGCATTATATCCTCCCGATACAGGTACCGCACCATAGTACGAATTCATACTTTTAACTGGGTAAGCTGACTGTTGTTGAACAACAGAATATGTTCTGAGTGGCATGAATTGGCTGATTGGCGCTGAATAGACATATTGTTGAACTGGCCTAGCAGGAAAATTGTAGGTAACTGGTGGGAAAAGTGGTGCTGGCTTCTCTTCCTTTTTCTTTTTCTTTTCCCCTGAAATAACAACACGAAAATCAGACACACATAGAGTGAAAAAAAAATTATAAGAAAATTAATTTTAATTACATTGTAATGTATACACTGAGGAAAAAAGTAAAGTCAAAACTACCAGAATATGGTAAGATTTATTACGTTTCTGGCACCAAAACTCTTGATAATTTTCACCGAAGCGCTTTGGAAAATGATTTTGATAAAACTAACAATAAAATATAGTTTTATAATACGTGATGAAATTTGGTAAATTTGAAAACTTTAGTAATTTTATCATAATACTTTAGAGCATGGCACAAATACCGTTTATTCCGTTTAATTTACTTTTCAGTTTTGTATTTTTTTTTATTATTATTAATTGTACGGTAATGCGGACAATAATTATGAAAACCATAATTTTCGGAAAACCGTTACCATATGAATGAAAAAATTAACAAATGGATGGCTTCAATACCATATGTTTTGGTTGTATAACCTAAATAACGGGGGTTTCTTTTAATCAAAAATATCATTACGATACAGTACTGTAATCTTAGCAATTTTTTTTCCTGTGTGTAAGTAAAGCTGAAACGAACTAAACCCTACAGCTCCTAGCGAAAACTCATGTTTTCAATAAATTTTAGACGCAGAACTTTTAAAAGACCTAAAAAATGTCAATAAATGTGACTTAGATCGTTTAAAAAGCACTTAAAACTTTAATTGTTATACAGCGCAGAACTTCAGTAAAAATTTGAGCTCACTAGATAGTAGGAAAGCAGTCGATATTTTAAATAGCGCGAAATTTTTTTCTGCAGCAATAATATTTCAGTAATAATTGTTGCAGAAAGAAAACGATTGAAACTTTCATTGAAATTAGGCACAAAGCTTTGAAGGAGATTTGAGCACTCTTGTCCGTCGGAAAGGATTTGCGAAATTGACGAACGATAAATTTCTTTGGCAATAAAATGCATTAAATTCTGCATGTAGTGGTCAGTAAAATATTAAAACTCATAATGTCCTCTAGAACGGCACTGCGGTAAAGAATTGAATACCATGGCTTTTCAAAAAGTGGCCGAAATTTCGATTGCAATATTCCATTGACAAACACACACAAAAGCAACAAAAATAAAATATAATTGAAATAAATAAAAAGTAATAAAAGCATAATAAAATTCACATTATTTGCTTAAAATTTAAGTCTGAAAGAGAGAAATCAAAGCGCATATGCTTTGTTACTCTTTTCGGAAGAGTGATTCTGCTTTTATGAACCCTTTTATGTTAAGAAGGTTCATAAAAACCGAAAAAGTGTCATTTATTCGCGTGCGTGCGACACTAGTTTTAAACTTTAATGCAAGTATCTATAACTCCAAAAGAATGACATTGTTCTCGAGAAAGGAATCACTTCAGTTTTTAGGACATAAAAGATCTGTAAATGGTCACATAAAAGTCTATTTAAGATTTTCACAATAGAAAACTTATTGTGCCAGCTTCTAAATCATTTCCTGTAAATGAATATAACATAAAATACGATGCATAAAGTCTCTGTAACTATTTAGAACAATTGAAACATAAATGCAGCAAACTCGTCTCGATTAACATTTTTGAAATTGAATTCATTCGATGTCATTCAAAAACTATTAACTTGTTTATTGTAATAAATTTTTAAGCAAATATCAAAATGTTGTAAGTTCTCTTTAATAGCACAGTTAAAATAGGGTTTTAAAGGATCATCCAAAAACAGCTAGTTAAAACCAGCAACTGTTGACTACCCTCATTATAGTAAATGGTAAAAAATTTCCATGATCTTGCAAGTCTGGCTTTCATGGGAGAGGAGGAAAGGGATTAAGTGCAAAGTAAAACCTGTTTGTTGCTATTTAGACACATAAGGTAATGTCTTCAATGTAGTTGTTTGCGCTAAATTACATGAAACTAATATCGAGATGATAGGATTCGTAATTAAAAAATTATAAGTGTTTTAAGCATAAAAATATAGCTGTAGGAATTCCATTTTATACCTATTTCAGAATCTGAACTTGCTATCTAAACAAATTAAGTATTGTTTTCTTTGTTGTTTTCATGCTGAATTGTATGAATCCAAATACGTGCTTTCAGTTCAAATTTTGCATGGTATTTTATGTATAAAAAAAGCAAATTGTGACTTGTACTTATGTACACTTTTTATCTTACTGTCTACTAGCTATCTAGAATAGTGAAATATATTTTTATATGTATTCTTTAAGTACAATATTTCAAAAATTAGAATGGTTTCTATGTGTAAAATGTGCTATTTTTTTAATTTCATTTATCTTCACTAACTCAATTAAGCGTTAAAAAATACGCAAGAAACAATGCCTCATTTGTACAGGCAGTTTTATGGTAGTATTAAAAAGTGTGCAGGGTACAAGACAAAAAAATAGTACTTTTTATACATAAAACCTTTGTGACTTTTAAATTATTCCAAATAGTTTTGTGCTTCATCCCATACTTTTATGTGTAAAAAATACATAGGTAACCATTCTTTATTTATGTAGATAGCAATTTCAGATGAGTAGAAGGGCACAAGTTAAATATTGTACTTTTTTGTACGTATTATAAATTCGGCACAATTCGTCACATTGTCTCGTATTTGATCTCATTTGTTTCAGTGTAAAAATACTTGGTAAACAAAACTTTTTTTTGTCTCAGTAAAAATATTTAACACCCCACATTATTCCTTATAACCTTTTTACCATATACTATAAGAGAGTCGTGGTGGCTCAGGGGATAGAGCATTCGCCTTCCACAGAGGTTAACCGGGTTCGAATTCCTGGAATGGCTAGTCGAAACGCATTCAGCACCCAGCTTGTACCGACTACAGTACTGACATAAAATATCCTCAGTGGTAGACGGATCATGGGTAAGAGTCCCCTTGCCTTCAAGCTAACCACGGAAGGCTTTCGTGGTCTTCCTCTCAGTGTAATGCAAATGTGGATTAGTTCCATCAAAAAATCCTCCATGAAGGTAAATTTCTCCCAGTACTTGATTCAGGAGTTTCCTTGTCTTCTGGATTTCGTTCAAAATTGCAAGACTACGGCGAAGAACATTAGTAGTCTTTAACTCAAAATTGAGTCGGCTGTTCAACTACGTTTATAAAATATTTAAAAAAATTCAGTTTGTTTAATTATTTGTTTATTTTTTGATATCTTGTTTTTTCCGATTATTGAGCTATTCTAATATAGCTAATTCTGTAACTAATTCTAAAAGCTAATTCTAAACAAACTTTTTGCAAAATTAGCTGATTATACGTTCAAATAAAAGAATTTTATAAATAAGAAAGATAACTTTATAAAAGTAAATTAAAATTACGTTTTATAACTACAAATTGTTCTTTAAATATCTTTATAATAATGCGTTACATAACAGAGTAATACTATGCAATTACTCAATATAATAATTATTAAGTAATACGAATAATATTTTACTTAATTTTGAATAATAATTAAAATTGAAAATGAAATAATAACAGATAAAAATATTAAGAATGGGTGATAATTAAAAATTACTGTTAAATAACCATTAATTTAACGTAATTAAAAAATGTTCAAATACATGACGTATAACTTTTATGAGTTTAATGCTGATGGCAATCAAAGATATATGTATTATCTTCATTTATAGATAATCACATCATTTTTTTTATCTTGGTTTCTTCTTAACATTTTTCAGAACATTATTTATAGAACAGGTTATAGTTAGAACAGGCAGTTACTTATGATTTAAAAAATGCATTTTTTGTAAATTACCTGGAAGAACGTTGCTTTTACTCGCTGAAACTATTAAAAATTTTCTTCCGGATTCAACGTGAAGATTTTGAAAATGCGAGTGCTTATTTTCCATCTCCCCCCGCCCCCTGATACCCAAAAGAAAAAATTTAATTTATGCTTCAAAAATATTTTTTACTTCTCAAAACATAGTATAATTCATGCAAAGAGTACCGTAAAACCGCTATTAATATGCATTTTCAGAGTACTTGCCATAAGTTAAGTAAAATAAGATGCACAATGGAGGTCGAATATTTTTATTTAAACCATAAAAAAATTAAAAATAGATATAGAAATTTAACGGATCACCAATGAGTAAGGTAGGAGTAAAAATCAAAACCATAATGATAATGAAGTTTAATTGCCATTTTATAATAATTAAACGCTAAGTAAGTGCCATATTTACTTTTTAGTTAATTATAATTACTTTTATGGCAATTTTTTGCAAACCGATGTTTAGTTGAAATTAACGTATGCAATTAAAATAATAAAAACAAAATAACAATTTAAAATTTGAAATTACGTTTTAGCAATGTTACTAAATAATCTTTTTGGTTAAAAAAAATTTAACGAGTTTTTATAGTAACCTAAAATTCAAGAACTTAAAAACGAAGTTTATGGATAAAGCTGCAAAGGTAATCTGGAAAAAATCATAAGTCAAAATTTTTATTTTATTAGAATCGGAAATTAAAACCGTGGAACCAAAACTTCGGCAAGTTCGGAATCTTTTAATTGAATAAGTTTTCATTCTCGTTCATCAGGATGAAATGACACACCATGACTGTGATAATAAATACAAAATAACAATTTAAAATTCGATATTACATTTCGGCAATATTACCAAATAATCTCTTAGGCAAAAAGTATTTAAGCAATTTTTATAGTAACCTAAAATTTAAACGAAGTTATTAAAAATCAAACATTCGTTTAGTTGAAAATACACACTTTGATTTAAAATTGTATTAGATATAAAAATATAGATTAAGGGTTATAATAGATATCCTTCTATCGATTATTATCTATTAATTACTAAGGAAATATTTCCACCCCTGACAAAACAGCTCATCTTGGTGCTCTGGAATACAGGGTAATTCATAATTCCCTCCGCCTGTAAACGCCATTTTCCTTTACTACAACTGGCTTCAGTGGTACATGTTACTGCCATCTACCGGCAACTGCTTAAATTAAAACTTGAATATTTTCGGAATAATATCATATTTCTTTTTTGCCACATTTGTCTTCGTTTTTTTTTTTTTTTACTATAACGCTTCGAAACCCCGGAGGGAATTACGAATAACCCTGTATTGTTTCATTTATACGAATGCTCATTCTCCCCTGATTTGCCTCGTTCGGTCATCATCGTTTTCCCTCGACTGCAGTGACTTTTCTTTCTTTTTTTTGTCCTTTATTTATTCCCCTTTGCCCTTTGTTATTTCCCCTTATTTATTTTAATAAACTGTACGTTAAAGCAAAAAACAAAATATTATTATACTTATTTAAAAAAAAAAATTTAGTGAAATTTCTCATCTGAATAAAAATTACGAACAATTATTAGTTTTCGTCATACTATTATGAGTACAAACAATACAATAACTTTTGAAATATATAAAAATTAACCCACAAAGGTTTTCCATTTTCAAGAAACTGTTCCTTTTCTTTAAATTAACTATTTCGCCAATAATCATATCATAAGGATTAAGAATTGCATAGGAAACCATGACCAAAATTGTCATCGTATGCCATTAACGTATCATTGTAGTAGTAGACGTATGCCAGTTTGGGCAGAAGTGGTGCGATTGTTCTTGTTTTCCAGTGGCGCCATCTATGGCCACATCGCATCATTAAAAAAAATAATTTTAAAAAATTAATTTTAAAAATTTATCGTGTCATTAAAAAAATTAATTTTAAAAATATTGATAAATTTGAATAATTTGTTTTTAATCTATAACCTCAACCTTCAAACCTCAGATTTTTTTTTTTAAATTGGGCTGGAAATTAATGTGTGGAAATATACAAATATGGTTTAATTTCACCTTCACTGGGTTCACTCTTAGACTCTCCTGATCCTTCGGAAGATCCTCCTTCTTCTCCACCTTCACCTTCAGGAGCTTCTTCACCGGATTCTGGAGCTTCATCTGAACCACCTTCTTCTGGTTTAGCTTCTTCTTCACTACTGCTGCTACTTGAATCTGTAAAGACATTTATATTTTTGTTGTAATACAAAAATATTTTTATTTATAGTGTGCAAATAAAAAGCAGAACACCTTAATAAATTTTAATTTAATGATAGAATTTTAATTTAATGATAGGTGAATGCTACAAAAGCCTAGCCTTAAAAATGCAAGTTTATTAAAGCAGACGATTTCAGTTACGAAAACAGACAAAAACATTCCTCCTCTAAATAAGAATAACTTTTGTTTGGCGGATTTGGATTAAATATGTGGAGTAATCGTTGCTTGATCAAAAACTTGAACTTTTTATTGGTAATTTTACTTTAGCGAATTCGTTAAATCAGTGTCGATATCTTTTGAAAAACAACTTTTATAACTGCGTTCAAAAATATTTTATTTCACCTAAATGTTAATACGAATAATGGAAGTTAACTTTAATAGACATGAACATTTAATTACTACACTGACTAACTTATTCGAACCATTTTTGCCTTCAGAATGTGGCTACCCACCCCACAATATTTTTTGAGTCAAAAATCAGAGATGATTCTGCTCCGGAAAAAATCCGGATTTCCTGATTTTTCGGTAAACGCGATCCGGAAGTTTCCTTAAATTGAAAGTCTAGAAGTTTCAGGAAATTATTCGTCACATTTATGAATAAAAAAATTTTATGTTTTATATAGAAATATTAGAACTGGAATTGATACTTGGCATCTCTTTCATTTGAAAATATTTTTTTCCGGTAGAACAATAAATGTGATTAGAGATTAAGGTAAACTTATGCATAATTATTCCTTTAAATTATGCTGCATATAATTTATTTAGAATTTCATGTTTTAAAAATATCAATGATTTAAAATTATAAAGACATTAATTTTTTGAAAAGCGTGATTAATGATTTTGTTAGAGAAATTTTCGGGATTTTTTTGTTGGGCTCACAATCACCCCTGTCAAAAATACAAAATCAGACCAAAAAATGGCAAGTTTTATCAGAGTAGTAAATGCATTTTTGTTTGTAATTTCGTTATGTAGATTCGCATCACCTGCACAAATAAACTAGCACATTAATAACCTCTTAAACCATTAAAATTCCATTTTAGTATACTACAATAGGATTATTAAATCAAAAGTTATTAAAGTATTCCGTTTTCCTTCGATATTGTGCATGAAGGACATTAAATTAATAATAGTACAACAGATATCATATTACAGTTTGGTTTTATATTATTCCTTACAATTATATTCCTTACAATTATATCTCTTATTCTTGTTACATGCTAGCATGTTTCATACATAGTTATTCAGTATCTATGAATATAATTAATTAGATGTCCCTTATATTTTCCCCACTATCTGACAGTTTTTTATAAAATACTCATAAGCAATGCATTATTTCAACTGTTTTTTTACTCATACCATTCATTTAATAGTTTATATGCTAAAATTTCACAAAAATTTTTTCGCCATAGATAAAACTGTTTCCTGGGAAATGTTTCAAGCAATTATTTCATGAAATTGAAAAATTACCATTTTTAATTATTTGATGGAAAGAATTTCCTCAAAAATATTATGTTGACTATAACTATCATCACTAGATAATGGCTGGTGACTGTTCCATTCATTTACCAGAAAAATGAAACTATATCATACTCGTAAAGCTATTATTACCCTAAAAAACACAAGTTTGTCCTCAAAAAATTTTTCTCGCAATATACTTTACTAGTAAAAATTTCAAGCCTAGACGTTATTAAAACTCGGGCTATTTTTTATCGAATCTAGGTGAAGTAGTTTAGTGCCGTCATCAAACAAGGAGTGAGAAAATTGTTTGCGCTTTATTCGTGGTCATTGATATGGAGGAAAGGCGAGAGAGATGTCCTTTAACGCAGACTGGAATTGAACTCGGAAGCTTTTAGACCTTAGTCAGATGCTATATCTACCTCGAAAAAGAATGTATAAACCGCAATGTGAAAATACTTGAAATCCACCTAATAATATAAGAATAACTGTAATTTATTTCGATCAGATGAAAAAGTCTAGTTTTGGTAACGTAATAAATTTTGTTTAAAATTTTTTTGGCAATTTATAATTTTTGTTTAAGAAGAGTCTAGTTGAATTCGAATAAAAAAGTAACTTTGTAAGCCTTCAAAACTATTAAACATCAAAACTTGTTTGATGGCCGGAAGAGTAAAAATTTATTAAATACTTAAGCTAACATACTGCCTTAATACTTACTATTAGGCTTTCTCGTTAGTTTCAATATTTCTAGTATATTATTTTCAAACTGATCTGTATCTATAAATATCACCTTTAATTTGACCTCTGACAGCCAATGACTGTAAAGATCTTTACTCAAGGACGATATTTTTACGTTCGGTAGACTTCTTTCTTGAAGAAGGGCCATTCAATTTAACGTTCAACTTCTACTTATTTTGCTGATGATCAATACAATTAAAGGCACTAAACCTTTTATCTAAAGCTACCTTTATCTACCTTTTATCTATTATTTCATTAGCTACTTTTTATCTACCTTTTATCTTTTATCTCGTTAGTTTGAATATTTCTAGTATATTATTTTCAAACTGATCTGTATCTACAAATATCACCTTTAATTTGACCTCTGACAGCCAATGATCGTAAAGATCTTTTACAAGGACGATATTTTTACGTACGGTAGACTTCTTTCTTGAAGAAGGGCAGTTCAATTTAACGTTCAACTTCGACTTATTTCGCTGACTGTCGATATCATTAAAGGCACTAAGCTTTCCATCTCAAAGAAGGCAGCTGGTTGCATGAATAATCTGTCTACTCTATTAATTTTGCTGTGAGGTTCATTACAAGATGTTCAATTCCACCTTCAATTACGGGTACTGGACTCTTTTCTCAAAAAGGGAATTAGCCGTATTGGTAAGCTCTCCGAATTTTGCAAAAATTTCTTAGTTAGAAAGGCAACATAAAATAAAAAGAGTCAATTTTCAATATTTTCCAGAAAAAGATGACGGAAAAACTAATTTTTAAGCAAGGGTACTGACCCTTACCATCCTATCATACAGAGCAAGGAAGTATCGCTCAATTGATCAAACAATACTTTTATAAAATATCATATAAAATGTATTGACCTATAATGTTAATTTGTTACTCTCAATATCAATGTATTTAATATTACTCTAATTAATAGATTTACGTTATTAGATTAATATTGAGATTCTCTGAATTTTTCCCGATAATATTCAAAAATTTTGAATATTATGCTATTCATTTAAAATTTAAATTTAATCTTCAAAGATATATATTTTGCTATATAATATATAT